TAGCTCTCTTTATCCATTTGATTATCTTTCTCCCTATATCTCTTCATCCATCTACTTCTCTATATTTATTTATCTATCTATCTGTAATATCTATTCTTCTTTCGCTACTCCTTTGTTCGCCTCTTAAGTCTAGCTTTATTAGTTGTTCGTCTTTATTGATCGCTGTTTCTTTCCTCTCTCTTTCTCTACCCTCCCTTCTTTCTCCTTCTCTCCCTCTTTCTCTCTTTCTCTCTCTCCCTTCTTTCTCTTTCTCTCCCTCTTTCTCTTTCTCTCCCTCTTCTCTCTCTTCTCTCCTCTCTTTCTCCTTTCTCCCTCCTCCTTCTCTCCCTCTTTCTCCCTCTCTCCTTTCTCTTTCTCCTTTCTCTCATCCATCATCTATCTCTTTATCCTTCATTTTCCCTTACTTCTCTTATTTCATCTTCGTCTTTTCCTTTCACCATGAACACCATCACCCTTTGCTTCTTCTCCCGACATTCCTTCACCATATCTTCCTCTCTCTGACACTATATTTATCATAATCTGCCGCAGATGCTTTTGTTTAGATTTCTGTCGAGCTTAAGTGATCATTTCCCTTCAAGTGAACAGCCTTCGCCAACCCTCTGTCTTTCTCTTTCTCTCTCTGTGTCTCTTTCTCTTTCTCTTTCTCTCTTTTTCTTTCTTCTCTCTGTCTTTTCTTTTCTTTCTCTCTTTCTCTTTCTCTCTCTCTCTTTCTCTTTCTCCTTTCTCTTTCTCTTTCTCTTTTTCTTCGTCTGTGTCTTCTTCTCTTTCTCTCTCTGTGTCTCTTTCTCTTTCTCTCTTCTTTCTCTTTCATTTCTGTGTCTCTTTCTCTTTCTCTCTCTCTCCTGTCTCTTTCTCTTTCTCTCTCTTGACTTCTTTTGACTTCTTTTGAATTCTCTTTCTTGCTCATTTTCTCTCTCTCTTTTTCTCGCTTGACTTCTGTCTGTTGTCTGTCTGTCTGTCTCTGTTTCTGTCTCTGTCTCTTCTCTCTCTCTCTCTCTCTCTCTCTCTCTCTCTCTCTATATATATATATATATATATATATATATATATATATATATATATTATATATATTATAATATATATATATATATATATATATATACTATATAGCTAGTCACAAATTCTATCTATCATCTATCTCTTTCCTCCCTCATTCCTCACTCCCTTATTTCGCCTTCCTTCCGTATTCTCCCTTTCGCTCTTCACTTCTCAACCTCCTTTCCCCTCCTTCTCCTCTCCCTCCCTCCTCCTTCCTCCATCCCTCTGTCCCTCCCCCTTACCCTTCTCTTCTCTTCCTCACTTCCCTCGCATCTTCCCTCCCCTCCCAATCCTTCCCTTCTCCCCCGTACCCTTCCGACTTTCCCCTTCCTCCTCCCCTTTCCTCCCTTTCTTTCCCTCCCCTATCCTCCCCCCCTCTACTCTCCTCCCTTCCCTCCTACCTCCTCTCCTCTCTCCCCTCCTTCCCTCCCTCTCCTCCCCTCTCCTTATCTTCTTCCTCCTCCCTCCTCCTCCTCCCCTCCTCCTCCCTCCACCCTCTCCTCACCCTCCACCCCACCCCAACCCCTCCTAAGTATCAAAGTGAAAACACTTTCATTACTTATTTACTTATAACGAGGCGTAAAACGATGGGATTGAGATAAATTTACGAAGAGCTTTTAGCCCGGCCCGAGCTGTCAATCAAACGGTATTGTGGATAACCCTCTCTGTACAAAAGGCAGACCGCGGTGGGAGGCCTCGGGGTGGGGCGCGGTCTAAAATTTTTGTCTGCGCGTTTCTATTTTTGTATCTCTCTCTCTCTCTTATTTCGTTTATTTGTTTTTTTATTATCATTTTAGTTACTTGTTTGTTTTTATTTAGTTATTTATTTATCTATTTGTCGATCTTGGGATGGGCGCGGGTCTAAATTTTGTCTGAGTTTCTATTTTTATATCTCTCTCTTTCTCTTGTTTCGTTTATTTGTTCATCTTTATTTTAGTTTTAGCTTTTTTTTTTTCTTTTGCTACTTATTTATCTATTTGTCGACCTCGGGATGGGCGCGGGTCTAATTTTTTTGTCTGCGTTTCTATTTTTATATCTCTTTCTTTCTCTCATTTCGTTTATTTGTTTATTTCATCTATTCATAGTTGTTGTTTTTTTTGTATTTGGATTCTTGTTTATTTATTTGTCGACCTCTGTGTTTTTATTTTAATTTCTATCTCATTTGATTTACTTGTTTATGATTATAATGATAATGATAATCATGACATAATAACAATAATGACAATGATCATAAGAATAAGAATAAAATAGTAATAGTAATTGTAGTAATGATAATGATAAAGATAATAACAATGAAGATGATGATAATAATGATAATAATAATAATTATGATAATAATGAATAATGATAATAATAATAATAATAAATAATAATATAATAATAATAATAAATAATAATAATAGTAATAATAATAATAATAATAATAATGATAATAATAATAATGATAATAAAGATAATAATAATAACAACAACAATATAATAGTAATGATAAAAATCATGATAATGATAATACTAATGATGATAATCAATAATGAGAATGATCATAATGATGAATAATATAATAGTTTAATAGTATTGAGTGCAATATCATTAATAATAGNATATATAGTATGTCCCGGTTTTGCACTGTATATTTGGAAATAATTAGCACTGGTTTACACAACAAACAGAACAAAAACACTAGGAGATCTTGTAATGCAACATGCTTTCCCATATTTGAGCATGAATATACGCGTTTTTAAAATGGCGTAAATACTTATGAAAATTTAATGCGTGGTTTGTATATCAGGTGTTGCTTTGATGGATTAGTTAATATGATTTATTGGGTGATAAACACTCCTCAAAAACTTGCCAGAGCTTTGTCAATGTTTTATTGGTGGTGTATCTCATGAATTTTGAATTTGTTACTTGCGGATAAGTACTCCAATCTATGATAATGATTATGGATATTCGGATACAGTTAATAAATATCCTGTAATCCAACAACTTCAATAAATAATGATTAACGCACGATATATTTTGGAAAAGTGAAAATGTAATCCTTATAGGAAAAATGACGTTTTAATGAATTACCGCTTTCGAATGTTTCATATCATTTGCCGATGTTTATAGTGCTGTTTTTCGGCAGAACGCTATGATGTGACGAAATATAAAAAAATCCTTTTTATAGTAAAATCTGAAATGACTTAGTTGAGAGGCTCTTATCCCTAACAATCTGGTTTCCATTTTCGATTTTATTATATTTGGTATAACATTATAACACACCTGGATTAGTGTGATTCGTTATACACATTTCATGCACTACATTGGCTTTCGTAACTAGTTTATCGCACGTTTCCGATTTACAGTAAAATACCTAAAAAGTACGAGAGAACCTCACGTATTTGGTACGGCATATACAATGACCGCACAGTTCTTCAGGTTCTTCTTGGCCGTAAAATGGGCCAAATACATCAATTTGCACAGTATAAGAAATTATTAGGCACTGTAAATACTTGATATTGTAGTATTACTATTGTATTGTCATATCCTTTAAGGCAGAAACAAAATCTCCTTTATGTATCCTTATGCGGGTTTTATCTAAAGACGAAATCTATTACAATAAATGGGGAAAAAATGCATCATGGTTTTGTTTACTAATGGTAGCAAGGATATCGGATGATTTTTTTTATAATGGTACTCAAGGATATCGGATAATGTTTTTTAATTTATTAATGTTCCTTATATTTGTTCGCTCTATCGTTTGCATATATCATTCTCCATATAAAAGATGGTTGGTTGAAACTTGACCCTTACCGTGAAATTGACGAAAGTACCCTTTTTAGCAAGAAAACGCTTCAGGAGACACAATGTGAAAATGGAGATATCCTCACAATTCTGACACCTACCTCTTCTCATCCTCCTATTTTTACAAAGTTGCTTCCTTCTTTAACGACCCAAATAACGCTGCCTGTGTCGGAGAAACTATGAAAGTGGACGTTATGAGCAGAGGAGGGCGGCGTCAGTCGGTCGTTACTTCTCGTTCACAGCTGTAAACTGGCTCTTTCTCCCGTAACCACCACCGTCTCTCTCACACATAATTATACACATATTTGTCTTCAAATCCTTAGATCTTTCTGTTTAATCAATTCCATTAACACAATCATTATTTTGTGGGAGATAATATAATACGAACAATATTTGTAGGAGAAATTATACGCATATTTGTCTTTAAATCCTTAGATCTTGAACAATTCTGTTGCTAATCAGTCCATAAACAAAAGCACTTATTCTGTGGAGAAAAGTTCTCAGTCCGTTTCCTGGTCGATGTCTCTTACTCCTCTGAGACGAAGAACAATTTGTTCAATTTGTTCTTTGTTCAATTCTTTGGTTGAATTCCCATGGTTGAGTTTGCTCTTATTTACTCGGTTGAGTTTCTTGAATTCGTTCTCTGAACTCTTAGCGTTAAATTTGATACATTAAACGATATCAATTTCCACAAATAAGTAACTTTTTAAATCCAAAGATGTTGGCAGTATTAAACTGTCCTATCTACGCAGTTATTGAGTAGATATATTTGTTGAGATATATGATTCTACACGTATAATACACCACACCACACACACACACACACACACACACACACACACACACACCACCCATATAATATATATATAATATATATATATAATATATTATATATATATATATATATGTGTGTGTGTGTGTGTGTGTGTGTGTGTGTGTGTGTGTGTGTGTGTTATATATATATATATATATATATATATATATATATATATATATATATATATATAATATATGTGTGGTTGTGTGTGTGTGTGTGTGTGTGTGTGTGTGTGTGTGGTGTGTTGTTGTGTGTGTGTGTGCATCTGTATACATATATGTATGTATATTTAGACTTCAACATGTGTGCATATATGTAATTAAGTATATGCACATACACACATTGTATGTGTGCCACGATGGTCAGTGCTAATGGACTGGACTCAGACCCTCGTGCAGTTGCTAAAAGCCGTGAGAAAAGCATATCGCACGAGAGGTCACGCAGGTGCGCTGGGGAAATCGCCGCCGTAAACAAGGAAACAAAAATACCTAGAGGGAAAAGAGGAAGAGGGAAAGGAGGGAGGGATGAGGGAGAGGGAGAGAGAGAGAGGTGAGAGGAGAGGAGGGAGAGAGAGGAGGGAGAGAGAGAGAGAGAGAGAGATGAGGGGAGGGAGAGGGGAAGGAGAGACGAGAGAGAAGAGAGAGAAGATAAGGCAGACGAAGAAAAGATGAGAGAAGGAGAGAAAGAGACAAGAGAGGAAAAGAAAGAGGAAAGGAGAGGAGAGAGAGAAGAGAGAAGAGAGAAGAGAGATGACTGACTATTAGCTACGAACGCGGTTCGATTGGGAATGGCAACACATCGAGGAAGAGGGTGGTACTGACCAACTAAGTCTCTCAATACAGGAAATGTAAAATACAGAACTGTAAAATTATGTTTCTTTCCTTTCTTTAGTACGTGGGGAGAGAGTTCAGCCAGATCTTAGCACGCTATGAAGTAATGACGAGTTTATTGTATAGCTGACATAGATTCATAACATACAAATGCTATACACATATATATGCTAATACTGTATGTACACAACACACACACACAACACACACATTATTATATTATATATAATATATATATATAATATAATATATTACATATATTACTATATATTATATATATTATTATAATATATATATATTATATATTATATATAGTATATAAACATACTATCAATGTCACACACACACAACATATTATATGAACCGAATTCATGTTGACGAAATGTCAGAAATTAATGATATATCTTCGTAAGAAAATGATATATGACAAATAAATTCGAAAACCGGTCAAATATATACTCTTGTATTGCGACAAAGATATACCTTTCTCATTCATACACTCACTACACAGCATTATAGAATATATAATAGATATATATATATTATAGATTATATATGTAGTCACCATGCATGACCTAGTCAGTCCCCTCTCAATGTATGTCATCACACACACACACACACACAAACACACACACACGACACTAATATATATATATATATAATATAATATTATATATATATATAACTATATAGATAATTATTATATATATGTGTGTGTGTATGTGTGTAGTATTTTATCATTATCAGGATAGGCTACTGCCAACACTCTCTCATAAGGAAATATACAAAAACCACATGTCATGATTCATTTATTTTTTTTCATTATGTGGACGGAGAGGTTCGCCCAGATTTGCACGTACAATTAAGTCATAAGTAATGCCCTTGACATATCCGTTCATGTGTTATAAGATTTTGTTGAGAATACCTTACATTCTAAAGCCTAGCCTAGTTTTCTCTTCTCCCGCCCTACTACTTTAACACACACCACACACATATAGCATACAACTATACATACTACCCATACATAACATACATACAAACACACACACACACACACACACACACACACACACACACACACACCCACACACACACACACACAACACACACACAATATATATTATATATATATATATAATAATATATATATTGCATATGCATAATATATATACGCATATCATATATGTATGTATATATATATATATATATATATATATATTATATATATATATATATGTATATATATGTAGTGTATATTTATATAATATATTATATATGTGTTATATATATAAATATTATATTATATATTATATGTGTGTGTGTGTGGTGTGTGCTGGTGTCGTTGTGTGTTGTGTGTGTGCTGTAGTGTGTGTGTGTGTGTGTGATGTTTGCTGTGTGGATAGATAATAAACAAATAGTATAACACACACACGTATATAATGTGTAAATACTCCACACACAACACTACGCATATAATATTATACTATATATATATATATATATATATCATATATATTATATTATAATAATACTGAACTTACACACATCGTGATACAAAAACCTTCGAGAACCGACCTATCGCCTTCGAGACGTCAGACGGTTGGCGCCAGAAGGGCCACGGCATTGTTTAGTAAGGGCATCCGGTCGGCAAGGCGGGTTAGATGCAAATAACTTCTTCGCGAAGACATATATAGACAATCTGTATATTTTTTCCAGCCGTGGAGGAGAGGGTTCACCCAGAATCTTACATTATATATGCTACAAGTAATCATATTGCTGTGAGAATGTCCAGGTTTTCATGTTATTGACTGTTCTGTGAGCATATGATCTATTTAAACGCCTAATCTATGTCGCTTCTTTCGTCCTATACACCAACACATACACAACACGACACACAACACACACACACACACAATATAGTATATATATTACTATATATATAATGATAAGTATATAATATAATTAAGAATAGAGTAAAATACAGAGCACACACACACCCACACACACACACACACACACACACAAACA